CCGATCCCAGATCCCATCCTGTTCTCAATGGGTCATTTGTGTCACCTCGGCTGCATGAAGTTCCGGAAACTAGCAAATCATTAGGCGATAGAAATTAGTTCTCTTTGTTGGTCTTGGTTCATTTTTACTGTCCGGTCCCAGTGCTAGTGTCTAAAATTAGAAAAGGGTGCACATTCTCAAAAGACTGCATCACCTTTAAATTTCCGAATATTCCCCCTTTTCAGAGCAGATGCAATGCATTAGGTAGAACTCTCTTTCCTTTGTCCATGCTGAACTGTTGTGTCTCAGCCCAAGGAATTCACGCTGCGGCTGACGGTGACATGTTGCAGACACAGGAGACCAGACATCTTGCATGTCTCCTGGTCTTGCTTGTGTTTCCATGTTGAACTAGGGTCTTGTCCGGTTTGCACAGCAATACCTCATCAGACCGGCAAATTATACTCTGTCTCAACATTTTTTAAGACTTGAAGATTTAAGACACAGTTGGAGATGTGAGGCTTCACTTTTTTTTTTCTTTAGTCTCTGGGAAGAGGAAAGGGGCCACATCGCCCAAGAGAGACCGGAAACGAGAGAAGGGAAACCGTAGACAGGTCGCCACCGGGCTTCGCCTTTCATAGGACCAACCAATTCTGAATGCCAATGGCCCCACACAGATCCTATGTCTCAAAAACTTTGGTACTGTATGGATTAAATTTTAGGCCTTCCCTGGAGTCTCTGGAACTGCATTATTTGCCATGTGAGCCTTCACTTCTCCTCCATCTCTACTTCGTTAAGCAATTGACGACAGGAGAAGCAACTCGAAGCTTGAAAGCTTAACAGTGTATCAAATACAATGATGTCAAAGATTTTGGGTGGAGGAGCAGAATGCCTCCGAGTCGTAAGATGTTAATCCGGAGTGTTTCTCGATTCTCAAGCAATTTGGAAGCGGTAAATGTATAGTATCAACCATTAGCAAAATTTCTTGAGGGTGATTGGGTCTATAGCACACACGTGGAGATGAATAGGCTTCCCCACGTTCGGCGTGTCTGGAGGAACCGTCACAATTATCGTGGAATAGGTGTGTGGCGTGAATTATGCCATGTTGAAACAGGGATGTTGAATATTAGGGATATCCAACTTCCTCTTTAAACTCGCATTTAAACTCAGCTTTATCTATGCAAAGGTGAGCATTCGTTTGGGAACAGCATTCGAGGATAATGGCGAGCTTCCGTATTTGTTAATCCCCAATTAGGCTGGTCCCGAATTAGCCTAATGGTCGTTTGTAAATTCCATCCATTTAAGTACTTTATTCAGGTTTTGTTTACAATCTGTGAGTGCTTTTGGGTGATTACTGCTCTTTGAGGCCAAACTGTGAATAAATTATTCTCAACCGATATACTAAACATCGGTATACTAAACACAAGAAGCCATGATTTGCGATTATGGGTATTGTCATGGAAATAATTACGGAGTGTAAATATTCTATGGTAGAGGTTTCCCGAATCCCAATTTGGCATGAAATCGACTGCAGGATGCCGGATGCGCTGTCTATTTTAAGAGCTTGGATTTGCGTTTTCCATTCCTTGACTTTTCCTTCTGCTGTGTTCGAAGTTTTTCTTTTACATCTCAGTGGAAGTACGGGCCATCAGCTGATTGAAGAATGTCCTTGTTCGATATCGATTCGGGATCCAAAATAGACCTCTGTCCTCGTGGGTCTGACTGGGTTTCTCCACCAGTTCCCTGCGACTGCATCACGTCGAGGAAATGAAAAGTAGAAATGAGTCAGACCGAGAATTTTATGCCCGGATCCTCTTCGTACTCGCAATCCAGGGCCATAGTTGCACGGCCCCGACTGTGGTTCTCTCTTTCCTGCCCGAGGTCTATCCGGGCTCACAAAAAAATCTATCGGGATGAAACCCAGGAGTGGATCTACGCGTCCTAGGTGCCTTCTTTCTATCCCCGTGGAGGGTCGAGCATCATTTGTTATATGCCAGAATGACCAGAGTATATATGACCTTCCCCAAGTGTTTCTTTTTTTTTGGGGTGGGGGGGGAAAGAAAAGAAATACAAAAATTGGTTCCTGGGCCCGACCCGACTAGCACTCCATCTTCCCCACGAAGGCCTCAAGCCCGGCCCACCAGCTTGTTGTGCGGGTCGTTAGTTGGTCTGCTCATCACTAAAGGAAAGCAATTCAAGGGAATCGTGTCCATAATTCAATGCTTCGATATTTCATCTCTCTTATGATCGTCTTGAAAATGATCTTCAAACTTCATAGGTGGCCGAAGATATTCGGAAGAGATTCCACCTGTTTCATTTAATATTGATTGCACTTTCCCCCAAAATCATGAGTCTAGGAATAGAGCATTCCTTTTTTCGATAAATTACCTTCGGAAACTGCTCGCAGCCCAAGAGAAAACAAACCATTTTCCCCTTATCGAGAGTTCCAGAAGCACTCGGTCTGGAATATGCATTAATTTCAGGGATTAGAATCCCAATGAAAGTTATGAGTGTACTTTTTCATCTTCAAGGAGATTCTTTCAGGCTTTGGGTTGGAACGAGTAAATTCAGCATCTTGCTAGCTGGTTGAGGTATTGAGGAAAGGATTTCCAACCGCACAATAAATTTCAATCGTAATCTTCCTGTTATAGTCATTATTGAGGTTGGGGGTCAGTGTGTTCTCATACGCAATATCTTAATAACCGTCCAACAATTATGTAAATAATTAAATTAAATAAATTTAGATGAGGAATGGGTTAATAACTAAAAAATTATTTTACGTTGTGTTCTAGAATAAAGTATTTTTCTCAGTCTCTCCTGGATTGAAAGGGCATGAGGTGGAGGGAAGTTACTCCTGATCTAGAAGCAGCAACAATTGGACAGATAATGATCGAACATAAAACGTTTGGACACCCATGAATTAGGTAATGGGATTCTTTCAATTCTGTTTTGATTCAGCGACATAGATGGCATCTGGCAGGCCGGGGTTCGATACCAGCTGTCAGCTCACCCAGCCGTAATTACGCTGGGAAATGATTCATGGAAGGTTTTATGCGATATTCACCCTTGAGATACACCCATTAAAAAACTGTGAAGTCGCTTCAAGGCATTAGTTTTTGTGAACATTATTAATGGGCACTCAATGGACAGCCACCCAGAAATGTTTCCAGGCCTTCTTTCTTGCCCAGTGGAAATTTCCCCATTCCAGGGGGTTGATTAAGTTACTAGTCTAATGGTGAATCACTCATCATTTCCCCACACTCCACTCTCTATGCATCCGAGCTCCAGGAGAGGGAAGCAGAGTATACTCAGTAACGGGTAGGTGAGCCCCCGGCTGGGATCGATATCCAGCCTTCCGTATGCGAGGCGGTCTCTCTACCACTGAGCCAACGGTTCCAGTAAAGAGGGAAGGGGATAAAGGAATCTACAAGTACCTTCGGGCGGCTGGCGTCTTCCGTGAACCTAATCTAAAAATTATAGTAGAAGCTTCATAGCTAGCCTGTCAGTCGTGCAGGGTACTTCTAACCTACCCGAAGGCAACAATTAAGTTACTAAAAGTATGAGCGACTCTGTTGAAATGGTTCACTGATACGTCTCGAGTATGAAAACATGTTTCTGAAATATTTCATTATTTTCACGACTGATTTCCTCCATCCCGAGAAAATTAATCTGGGTGGGTAATAATACAGCTTCATGTTTAGCATTAATCGTCGTGGGTGACAGCAGACGAAGGAATGACCAAAAGGGCTAGGAAATCATGGAGCATAAGAACATAATAGAAAGAGAACGAGAAAGAACAGAGCGCTGCAGCCAGCTCCTTGAGCCTTCTTCAAAGTCCACTTCGATGGTCGATGTTCGTATATGTCTCTGCAGCAAGCTTCAAACATCGTACTGTGTCTTACTGTCGCTCCCTGAAAGGGGGCCTTGCATTTAGCCACCGGCCCCATGCGACAGCTAATCCAAATAGTCTGGTAGGATTTGGTAGGAGAACCCACTTCAAGTCTCCCTCGAGGAAACCCCAAAAGGAACTTGCCCTGAAAATGAGTAATTATCTCTCCTGTTTCCCGCTCATTTATCAGGATATTGACCTCTCATGTCCTCCCGCCTATTATTGGAACTGAAATGATCGCAAGGAAAACAAGGAGAAACTTCTTATTGCCGTACTTTTCGAAATCTAATACACCATTCCAAAGATAGTAAGCGATCGAGAAGCAGCATCCGGAACGAACTCTTCCATATTTCCAGGGAACCATGTCAGGACTCTAGAAAGATTATTTATGTATATTTTCATTGAACCGAACCAAACCAAGAGAGCTTTTCTACGATGCAGAATTCATCATAATCACTTCGCGGAATTCAACAAGTCAACAGAAAAAGATGAGCTATAACCACTGAAGAAGCGAAAGGGAGCTCAGCTTTATTTTTTTCTTACGAATGAGATATTTACTTTCCTCTCTCCTTAACATCCAAATTCTAATGGAAAGCTATAATAGAAAGTTTGCAGTTGAGGAATAGACCGCAGTTCCGGCCTTAGGAAGAGCCCTATTTGTCCTATTAAAAGTCCTACGAAACCCGGAATGAAGCTCGACAGAAGCTTTCGGACATGTTGTCAGTATATTAATATATGAGGCTTTGTACAATCAATCAATCTCTATCGATTCACATCAGGAGGTCCTGATTGACAGTCTATGCACCATGATTTTTCCAAAAAAGAACTTCCTCCCACCCTGAAAGCAGTCATGGAGGAATCTGAACGTCAGACATTGTCGATGCCGTCAAGCTTGTACGGTTTACCTTACCCCCTGATCTCATGCGTTCAGCAAGTAGCTTCACTTCTCCCATAAATAGAACATAAGTGAGTAATTGTTCCATTGAATACTTAATGAAACCTGTTCCTGGGGTCTGGACTTTCTATTGGAGAAGGGAAAGAGAGGTAAAGGAAGGGGTCAAGAGAAATTGTTCTGTTCCGCTTCTCATGTGGTGTCCAAAACGGGACCAACCTTTTCTTCCCTCTCGATTCCCAGGTTGTGGCAGTGGTGTCAATATTATTCATTGTGCTCGCCACTATCGCTCTCGTGCTCAATACCATCCCCACCCTTCAAGAGATCGACGCGATGGGGAATCCCAAAGACAACATGTACCTGGGTCGAGTTGAAGCTGTGTGCATTGCCTGGTTCACCATGGAGTACGTCTTGAGGTTTGCCTGTGCCCCCAACAAATGGATGTTCTTCAAAGGAGCGCTCAACGTCATTGATCTGTTAGCAATCATGCCATACTACGTGACGCTGTTCATCGAAACCAACAGTCAGACAGATTCCTTCCAAGACGTCCGCAGAGTGGTACAAATCTTCAGAATCATGAGGATTCTCAGGATCCTCAAGCTTGCCAGGCACTCGACAGGACTGCAAAGCTTGGGATTCACCCTGAGGAACTCTTATAAGGAACTCGGTTTGCTCATGTTGTTTCTAGCCATGGGTGTCTTAATTTTCTCCAGCCTGTGTTATTTCGCAGAAAAAGACGAACCCGGTACCAAGTACACAAGCATTCCCGAGGCCTTCTGGTGGGCAGGAATCACCATGACGACAGTAGGCTACGGTGATATTTACCCAGAAACCGCTCTGGGGAGAATGATAGGGAGCATCTGTTGCATCTGTGGTGTTCTTGTTGTGGCTCTCCCCATTCCCATTATCGTGAATAACTTCGCGGAGTTCTACAAGAACCAGATGAGGCGAGAGAAAGCGTTGAAGCGCCGCGAAGCCATGGAACGAGCCAAACGAGAGGGAAGCATTATGTCCTTCCAACATATGAACCTCAAAGACGCCTTCGGGAAGAGCATGGAACTGATTGACGTCATCGTGGATACGGGTAAGTTGAATCAAGCGTGGCGTCAAGTTGGGGGATGGGGGGTTCTCCGCGTTGGATTCCCCCCTGGCTTCTGTGCATGTGTCCAGGTCACGAAATCTCTGAAGTGGATGCCAATAGCATGGGTGGGGATAGTGTTCGTGCTGGTCACACAGGAACCGGGTGCTACAAGAATCATGATCATTCCCTGAAAAGGAACCGCCTGACGGATTCTCCTCAATCTGAAAGAGGCCACGGGGAATTCCCCTTGGCTGCCTGCTCACCGGTCAGTTTCTTTTTCACCGTCATTGTTACCTCCGATTTGTTGAAGCCCTCTTCATCTTTGTATCATTCTTCTCCCTTTTTGTTTATACGCATTGGTCGTGGTCTTCCGGAGCTTTGATCGCAATAACAGTCGCATATTCACTAACACCACTCACATATGGTTTGAGGTGGGGACCAGTGACGGACAGGCAGTTGAAATCGGCCCGGGTGAATTGAACTCATGCTGTTCCTGACGTGATGGACGTCAGCTTCGTTGAACAAATGTTACTTCTATGGAATGAACCCCGCCAGATACTCGACGTTTCATTGCCCTTCTTTCAATTGTTCAGAGGTCTTAGGAGACCGTTGCTTTATCGAATTTCCTCCGGGCTTCATGGATAAAAAAAAAGCATTTATACTGCACCAGCGGGTACGGGGTCAAAGTTTCATTAGCATGTTTCTTAAAAATCGCATCAGAATCCCTCTCAACCAAATTTTCAACTTGAAACAGATGGATTTGTTTCCGCTCATTGCTCGGTAAAAAAAAATATATATATATATTATATATGTTATTAAATTCATCTCTTTACTACGGAAACCTTACTCTCGCGACATCCTTGAAAATTTGTTTTCTCTATTGTAATATTATAGAGTTTTTCTATGATAATGGCGAGGAAAGATCCGTTTTTCTATGATGAAAAATGAGGATGGATTCTACTGCCAAAGGAGCATATTTCACGACGTTATGGGTGCCTTTTCAAAGATAAGACAATAGGGTACTCAGGCAAAGTCGATTCCATCCCAAGTGGTGCCAAAAGCTCTGGAAAATTCGATCAAAAGCACTGTTGAAAGACTCCTGGAAGAGAATATATCAGGAAATAGTTAACATCCATTTTCCCCCTCGTAGAGAAGAAAAGTGAAAACAAATAACGATTCACTAATGCTACATACAAGTATTGAATCATTACTCGTTAATTACTTTCCCTATCAATCAGTTGGACAATCAGTTCCTCCCAACTTCGTTTAACAGCATCCAGCAACTCAATGAGAAATTTCTTAGGCTCTCAGGTCTTAGTCACTGGTAGCAATAGTTGCCCAGTAGTTAGCACTTTTCTGTTTGAGAGATTTTTGAGAATGTGACCAGCCCACTCTATATGTTAACAGTCGGGGAAAGATATGCATGCCATGATTAGAATGGAGTCGAAGGAGACTAATAGAACTCATTCTCATCTCCTTCGTTTTCTCCCCTTTTTTTCTTTATAGGAGCAAGCCAAAAAAGACAGGAAAAGCGGGAATAACGAGTTTCAAGGCTTCAATGATTGTTGCTTTTGCACAACTAAGGTAGTGAGGATTCCTATGGTAGTCGTTATTTAGTAAGTGTGGTTGAGTTGAGAAACGTCGTTGTGCTCGGTGCATGACAGTGAGCATGCTTGTCTTCTTGCATTATTTTTTCCTTTCTTCTTCCTCTTAAGCTTTTCATTCCGACAGAGACGAGAACATTCGCCTATTCACTGCACACATTAAAGGAGTGTTCCTTGTTTTCGTTGTTACCGCGCGAGTCCTTTCGTTCGGAATTAGCGAGCACAAACTCACGAAAAACCCTATATTATCATTTTTTTAAAGCCAGCCTACGAAGTCACCGGACAGTCAATTGAATGCAGCCAGCGAACGAAATCAAACTCGAGTACCAGAAGGACTAAGTATATCGAGTTCATCAATGCTTGTATTGATTGATGATATTTTTCCCCCTGCTGATCACCAACTGGCTGCATTTCAGGAGAAAACCATAGTTGACGAGGAGATCCCCCTTCGAGAAAAAATCTCCCGAAGTGACTAAAACGCTCCGCCCTACCGCACATTCGTAGGTACCTTGTAAATATTGAGGTAAGAACTCTGGGAACGCTGTTCGTGTGATTTCTCTCACTTTTCATTCTGCCCCATTCTTTTCACAGCTCCTACACTCCTGTACTCCGGACTTGCTTTCTGTCTCTGTATGACACTCGAATCTTTCCCTTTGCACATTCCAATTTCTGAAGCCCTTTTATATTTGCTTCGATTTCTCTTCTCTCGGTGTGGTTTCTCACCAGCTTCTAATCCCACTTCGTCGTCTTCCCTGCCCCAATCTATTCCTTAACCAACCTACTGAAAAGAATTATCGCCTAACTACACGTCATAGTTTAGTTGGAGAAAGTCTTGTGTTCAGAAGGCTTTTGATTGATTGCGATCGCCATCTTTCCTCTCTGCAAAAGGAAAAAAGCATAGCGATTCCTAAGCAAGTTGGCCGTCTACCTTCCATCGCGGAAATCAATTCGTGTCTGCGTGCACACAGTTCGAACTTCACCTATTCATGGTAGCAGGGAATACTACAGCGGGGAATTGAGTGATTTCCCTCGTTTTTGGTCAAGTTGCCCTTCCTCTCATTTGGGAAAATAGTGTATCTGTGATGCCTGTCGCTAAGGGAAACTGGAGAACCTGCGAGTTGCCAAGACAGCGAGCAACAGAGCGTATGTATGGAAGTCTGGATATTTTTATGGCTTAATGAAGGACTGTCATATGATACTAGGATACGATACACAATGAGTCATGAAAGGATAGTTTCGTTCCGTCTCTCTGAAAAATAGAAATCAAGCTTTTGGCAAAGAATCCCGGCTGGAGGGGTTTACACAATCATCTGAGCAGCCTGAGCATCTGAGCAAGAATTTGCTTCCTTCTCTCTGCAGTTTAGGGACACCATCCATCCAAGAAGAGCTGAAGTACAAGTATGCTTCTTTTAGACTAGAGTTGGCGTGCAAGCCTAACCCCAGGTTTATGATTGAGAGCTCTTCAACGTTTGCTTACCTGCACGAAGGCCATGACAAGTCACAGGGTGATGTCTGGAAAATGTCTCCCTTCCCTGTCTCTACTTTAGAACGAAGGGGAAATAGGGATAGGAACGAGGACGAAATTGCGCCGCTTTTACTGCCCTCTCAAGGGCTACAATGAAACTTTGATGACACTCTCCTCTTCCGACCCGAGCGGATTTTTTCCCCTAGTGGAAAGCTATCTGGAGATTGACTTTCTTCTTCTCAAACTTCCTGTCGTACTTCCTTAGATCTCATCCAATTGACTCGTACCAAGCGCACATGCATGCATTCATGTTGAATGTGGGTGATGCATTTCCTGTTTGGTGCATCTCACGAATTAATGCTGCAGCCATCACGAAGCCTTATAGTTCCTGTTCCATGGGTGCTGTATGTTGGTCAGGTGTGTTCATCATTTACTAAAGTTCCTGTGGTTATCTGGAACAGATTTGAATTGGTAACTCGTAAATATTCGGGGTGGCTCAAAGTCACTATCATCATCAGAAAGTGTTCTTCCGCGTGCTTCATAAAAAAGCAAAATAGTTCATTTCTAGCATGTCGCTTCAATGTCAACTCCTACGTGAGCTATGAATTCTTATTATGGTGTCAGAGTCTTGCTGCCCTCCACTGTTTTCATCATAATATCCTGGCACCTTGACGGCAAAGAAAAAAAACACGCGCTCCCGATGAACCTAGGTTATTTCTGCAGTGATCCCCGGTAATGAACGCATCCATTTGCACAGCCTCAATGGCAGGCAGATGTGCATGAGTGAGAGATCAAGGATGTTCTGGATTCGAATGGAGCAAGTGACAGTAAATTAATGAGCGCCCTCTTAAAGGATGAAGAATCGCGTGAAGATTCTGCAGATGAGTAAATTTTCTAATAGTAACACGTGTCTGAGGCATGCATGAGCAATATTCTCATGAACTTTATCAACGTGACAAATAACCCCCATTCAAATCCGAAATGGGATGAATTCGTGTTGCAGAACATAAAAGAGCTTATCGATGCGGACAACCTGATGCCAGAAGGGACTAGCGACTTGGGTCGACATGTTGCCCTCGAGATGAAGACAGGTGAAAGTGGAACTGGTAATGGGGGTGGTGGTGCTGGAGCTGGATGTGGAGGGGGAGGCGGAGCATGGGGTGACATGGGTAGCATCGGAAGCTCGGACACTTACGCCACTTGTACCTCGGAAGCTGACCTCACAGCAGCTGTCAATGCAGCTGAACCGGCTCAATCTCCGCTTCTCTCTCAATCTCCTTCCGTCTCAGCACATCCGAAGAATCTCATCGTGAATCCTATCGAGGAACAGACCTGCCTCAAGTTCCGTAGAACCCGCTTCCCTCAAGTGAGAAACCTACTATAGGCACCTTTTCCGCACCATTACTTGCCATCGAGAGATGCTTCATTCTTTCTGTCTTTCCTCCTTTCTTGCTTTGTACAAAGGGCACGAAGCCGAGAACGAGATTTGGAGTGGCCAATGCCGTCCACGAAGCAACGGGCCGGTCATTATCCATAAGCCATTCTTCGACCTCCTCCTCCTCTAAAGGTCTGTTATCACTGATCAGAATCCTAGATGATTTTGGTCAGAAAAAAACGTTGTTTTCTTACTTTATTATTATTGCAAATATACACCTTACAAAATCGATTCAGTCTAATTGGATGGTTTTGAGAGACTGGATCGTATTTCAGCAGTGGTCATCTCTGCGAGGCATTCAGTTTCTCAGTCACATGCTACACCCCCTGCAACAGCTCTGTGATATTGCTTTGAAAATACAATAATTCATGGTGAGTCTATGCACGCCTATAGCTTCTCTCCCGGTTTCCCCTATGGACTCGATCATTAACAATTTCCTTCTTCATAAAATCAAATGAAGGTCCCGAATCCTGCTCAACGAGGTTGCCTTCCTGCAGTGGGAGAGGAAAAAGAAGTCTGGCTGCCTTGTATGCCCCTGACAACAGCAAAACAAAGCAAAGCCTGTCATCCCTGCTTCAGAAAGGATTCCCCTCCTCAGTGAGATTCCCTCTGTGCCTCTCTCTCTACTAGCACATTGATCCACATCCTACGAGGGGAATGTCCCATTCCAGGTCGAGTGAGCGGTGGCCAGGTTCCTTCTGCTGTCAACTTGTCTCATCTCGATGGCAATAACAGCTCGGATAAGATCGAAGGCCGATCTCCCTGTGATCCATATTTTTTTTTACCTCTTTTCATAGTGTTCTACTGTGATGATCAGTTGCATGAGTACGCTTATATAATGATCGCGGTTTTCAAATTTTAACTCCTAGGGTTGAAAAAGATGTCAAGTTGCAAGTAGCTCAAGTTGCTTCTAGAGGAAATTCTCAGTTGACCTCTCGATCAGCGGTTAGAGAGTATGTTATTATTGGAGCCTCTTTCTAGCCAGTTGGTATGTGATGATATAGGAGGGTTTTTCGCCCTAGAAGTAGCCCAGTGTAGTTGAAACTCTGATGAAACGGGAGATTGAGATTATTTCTTCCCGTGTGAATTGCAATATGTGAGGAGAGAGTGAGATAGTGTGTGAAAAGCTAAAGCACATGATGGACCGACAGAGTTTACGGACGTTTGGTCTTCCACTGATAAAATGAAACACAAAATCTGAATTGGGGATCTCAGCAAAAAAAGGAAGGTTGCGTGCACGAGCCCCTCCCCAGAATTGACAAATGACGAGGGGATCGCCGAGGTGGGAGGCCGTTCAATATTTTTTAACAGCTTGCCATTAGGGCTAATGCCGTTTTATAGTCATTTTCATCCCTTCTTTCTACTTAGAGTACCTTAGTGGATATAACAAGCTTCCGCCGTAGGAGAAGCGCTATTCCGAAACAAGATTGGAAACGGCAATGGAAACCGGAACAATATTATGTGAAGGTTGTAGGTGGCAGCTGCTTCATAGTTGGGTTAATGCTGTAAAAAAAAATTACTTAGATTCCCTCGAGGTTCTCTTAGTATTTAGGAAGGTGAAAACCCTCTTTCTTGCTCAGTGATTTAGTTGCCAGAAGGAAAAAAAATCAAATTGAGAATTGAACATTATTCAACGCTTCATGTCCTTTCCTTTCATTTCCTTGTTCTTCGACGCACTCTTTTCTCACCCCTGCAGTCGCACAGTCTGGATGAGATATTTTAGAATGTTGCACCTATTTATAAGGACTATTTTACATACTTGATTGAATTTGCATATGATTGCTCTGTTGTGCCTGTGCCTGTTCCTTCCTGAGCCCCATTCTTGCCATTCATTCCTTGTTCATTCCTCAGGAAATACCGATGAACTTGTAGCGTTAGAGATAATAATAATAAAGAAAAGCACGAACATGTAGGATAGTCTCGGAGTTGGTGCATGCTTAGAACATTTCCAGCTTAGTTATTTCCCCTAGATGACATTCGCAGTTGACGTCCTACTGTCTAGACTCGACATGCTTCCTATCAACTCTTGTTCTGCTTCCTTCTGCATCAAATATGTGACTGACTCGTTTACGATAATTCGAATCGAAGCATATCATGATTGCCTCCCTCTATTTTCATCTATTCATGCCTGTGTTAGAGTTGATTGGAAAAAGAATAAAACAACTTCCACATCTTTCCGAAGCCCATCCGTCTCTCTTTTCCGTTCGGATAACATGTCTTGTTTCCCCTCTTGTTTCATGCCTGCAGCTTCCACCTGAACCGATGTGCAAGGAAAAGTCATTGTCCATAAGGCATGAGACCGCCGCTACAATGCTTGACTTTGAGGGCGGTGGTTTTTTTCCTCTCTGTCTCTCTCTCTGAGGACCTTCTTTCCTTGCTTCTTTCCTTCTTTGTCTACTGTCCTTCCCTCTGCTTATTCGCATGCGTCTGGGATTCAAAAGAAAGAAAAACGAGACTCCCCTCCTCTCTATAATGAGAAAAAATATTGACACACTGAGAAGATTGACCTGCTGTCGGGCCAATACTGTCAGTATGTCAGTCTCCTTCACCATCATTAATTACTGATTCCCGCACATCGTCGCCTCGCATGCAAGGTTGCTGTGCTGTCAGTAATTAATTTTGTCGCTGTCCATGCAGTCCAGATGGGAAAACCACGGCAACAAGTTGGGAATGAAAAATATTACTGTCAGACATTCCAGAAGTGAATGAATGAATGAGAGGTTCTCTTTCGCTTTAAGAGGTTTTTTTTTATAATATAAATTCCTAGTTGACACAATAAGGTAGGTTTTTTCCTGCTCGTTCCAAAACTATCTCCATTCCATGAGTGACTGGCTATATACCGAAGCTTTAATGCCTTATCGCGGTTAGATGGCGTTGACAGAAGTCAACGAGGCTCTAATATACCTTATTCGAAAGGTCACCTATGCAATCTTGCTCCCTACTCTCGACTCACTTTTGCTACAGCTTTCCTGTGAGGAAGGATGATATTGTTTTCCTTGTCAGAATAAGTCTGTGACTTGCTTGCAATGTACCTCCACTTCGAAAGACCAAATAAAAAGGGAAATAAACCACGAAACAGGTCCTCATCTTTCAGATCTTCGAGGTTTTCGAGGAAATAAAATCCTGGAAGACTCTTCCACTCGAACCCTTCATTCCGCATGCAGCGCCGGGCCCGATATGACACTTTCGGCCGTGTCGAGTTGTTTGCGAAGTTGTTGATGGCTCCCCCATTATTGATAACCCGCGTGCAGGGAGAAGTTGGAGAGATGGGCCGGGAAATAGATAAAGCACGGGAGGGGACACTTGAAAGTGCTGGTGGGAGGTCCCTAGTCGAGAATGCGTCACGTCCAACCAGATTCCCTCCCTCATACCTGATAATCATAAGTCCTTTCAGTTCCCGTTGCCATTCCGAGCCGCTGTCGTTCAGTGTTTCGAAATGGAGTCGCCGACGAATCTCCTACAGCCTTTCTTCTCGTTTAACCCCGAGGAGAAGCCGAAGGTGGAAGAGTTCCCCCCTTGTGGAGAAGACTTGCCATCGGTGAATCACTGTCAGGGATTGAACAGTTCGAATTCACCTCAGTCCAGCCGAATCTCTCCTCACGATCCATTCTGGACGATGGATTCTGGATTCCATGCGTGTCCTGTCCCCATTCAGTATCTCAATTCTCAAATGACCCCTGGACATGAAGAATACCAGGATCGGAGCGGCTGGGATTGCGTGGATCCAAATTTCGTGGATGTCCCTGAAGGTCCTCCTCCTCCACTCCCGGTGCCTTGTGCTGTTGACGGCTTCGATGTTCCCTTTCAAGGTGACTATGGGTTTTATGAAGAAAGCGGAGATGCCGATGGAGACAGCGGAACCGGGACTTGGGATATGGATTGTTGGACGGAAGCGAACTGCTGTAATGGAACCAACGGCATCAAAGAGGAAATGTACGGAGAGGAGAGGAAACTCTTGAATTATCCTGTCATGGAAGAAATGCCCTCCAAGTGCGAAACAGCTTCTGTCAGTGCTTCCAGCCCCATGGGTAGCTCTCTGGACGACGATGAGCTATTGACGCTTCCAGTCCGCGAGTTCAATCGACGGATGCAGGGTATGCCACAACCCAAAGTCCAGATCTACAAACAGAAGAGAAGGACTCTAAAAAATAGAAAATACGCCCAGATCTGCCGGACGAAGAAGGTGCAGCTGAGTCAGGAGCTGAAGATGCAGAACACAGAACTCAAGAAGAAACTGGATGAGAAAGAATACCTGCTCAATAATGCGGCGAGGAAGGTCGACTCTTTGGAGAAGGAATTAAACGCCTGTAAGCATGAAAGGGACACTTTGAGGCTAGAAAATGACGCTTTGAAGCAAGAAAGAGACGTTTCGAGGCAAGAAAATGACGCTTACAAGAAGAAGCTTCAAGAGCTTCTGGTATCCGGAAGGGGCTAATGTCTCTTCTGAGAAGTTATCTGTGTGTGTTGTCTTGGATGTGGACTGTTTCTGTTTTTTTTTGTGTCGTTTCACATTTTCATGAGGAGTGGGGCTTGTCCTGCGTCCCTTCCATTCCCCGGTGCATTCTCCTTGCAAATATCGAGGTAAAAGTCTTCGTGAAACATTTCATGACCATGCATAATTGATCTCCTTTTAAATGTTAATGTTGCTTTTTTGTTGGGTTTTGTAATTTCCCTGTGATCCCATGCGATCCAACCTTGAAGGCTTTTTCTCTCTAGGCCGGCTCAGTGCAATAGTTCGTTTTGAGCAAGACTAGAATCGATCGTGACTCTTCGCGTCTTTTATACAGGTGCGCCCCCGCGGCCCTCCTTCCATCTAGATGCTTTAGAAACGGTTTTTCCGGTTTCAACGAATAAGAAAGATTCATTCTTGGAAATTTCGCTGCCTTTCATTCCCGTCTTCGAAGCCTTTCCTTTGTCTCACCTTGCATCTGTGCGAATCTGACGCAGGCGAAGAATGCGATAGGAAGAGCCAAGTTCCTGTCTGCCCTGTTTGAAGAAAACAATCAGCCAAACAGCCTGACGCTCGTCGTCAACACCTTACTAACGTGCTGGGATTCTGCCAGCTGCTCGGGTGACGGGGTAACGCTTTTGAAAATTTTCCCAGGCGTGACCTTGTTGAACTTTCTCACTTCCGCCAAAGAAGGCGTCGACGATACAATGTCCATGACATGTTTCATAAAGATGGCATGCAATAACGTTTACTGTAACATTTTACAAATTCATGCTACTAGTAAATCGGAATTAATCATCTGTTTTCTCTACCGAAAATAATTTCAATTTAGGCTTCCGCAAAAAAAAATCGATAGGACTCTGGAGGTCGTCATTGCATGCTATCTTTGAAAAACGCAATTGAATTTATTGCATTAAAGCTGGATTCTTCAGCAACTTCAACAACCGCAACTTCAGCATCCCTGTGCATGTTCAACGCCTATTTCGTTTTGCCTGGAGAAAATTCATGGGACAGATGTTAGAGAACATGAGCTAAAATAACAAGCTGAACCGAGCCCAGTGCTGTGGCGAGTCTCCATTGAATGTACCATCTTAAATGATAGATCCACAGGCGAAATAATTGATGGATACGCCGACAAACGGACGGAGGAGGAGGATGCATAGACAGTCTATGGTTGGTGCAAAGAACCTTGTACCCGATCAAGCAGCCACTTTCATTTGGACGAATGGTGTCATCAAAAGTGCTTGAATCCCCACAATGTCGATAGCTAAATCTGTTGAACAGAATTCGTTGAATGGGGAAAAAACAGAATGTTACTCACGTAGAAAATGTCTACGGCAAATCTTTACTTGAAGAACTGATGCAGAAAGATCATGTCGTCTCCAAGGCATCAGGCTGGAATTCTTTCTCTTTTCCTCCTCTCTGAAATGCCCTTTTCTTCCGTTTATTTGAAACTTCACGCTCGCTACATATTCTCTATTTGCTTTTGCAAAACTTACGAGCTACTTCATGGAGGTGCGGAGTTGCGAGTCTGAGAGAGGACTTATAGGATAAGAATAATCAAGTGAAATCCATTTTTACTTTCCATGAAATCAAGAGGAGTTTTTTGAAGCACAAGCCTTTTACTTATAATGTGGAGCAGCTACAAGAAATGAGAAAAGGCAGTTGTTGTATCTAGTCCCACGACAGTTGCTTTGTGATTGTTGGACGCAGTGGCTGTGAAGAGAGCCATGATGGCATGGGAGAAGAAAGACTTAAGAAGCGAAGAGTTGAGGTTGAGGTCAAGGACAAACCCCATTCTCTCTTCGACTTACCGTCTTAAACATCAAATCGAGGAAGAGATTTTCCAGTCAAGTTCTACTCCTTTGCAAAAGGTCTTTTGTGTGGATTTCCCAATCATTATGGCACAAGGTTAACATTTCAAAGCCAGAAAACTGCTTCTTTGAACGGATTCGATGGAAGCTGCGTTTGCAAGCCCGTCTCCATTGAAGTAGGATATGACTGCCTGCTGGCAGCCCAGGAGGATAGGCCAGCCCAATGCACTTCACCTTCACAGCTCAGCAGCACTGACTTCATTGTAAGGAGCGACACCTTCACTCTCAAAGACTCGGCTGTTACTCCCTCCGTATTCCTGTGGGTTATTTGCCTTTGCAGGCTGATGCCGACGAGGCAGAGATGCAGAATCTAGGACACGATAATTTAATTAGGGATAACATCGTATTTCTTAGCAGCAGCGTCCATTATCTTCTCCCTTGACTCGTTCTAGAGTGATTCGATTAGATACTTGACCTCCTCCGACCTATTTTTTGCGTACGACTAGCCGTCAGAAGCTTCCCCAATAAAAATGGTTTTCGACATTGAATCTTTCTGCTATGCATTTTCAATATGATTCTCAGACCTTTCTTTTATTATGCTTATCCGCCTGCCCCGAAGTATTCGATCGGCACGGGGTGAAGAGAGAGTGAGTAGGGCCATCTGTTGAGCCGAGGGAGAGGAAATCGCCTGAAAACTCAACTGTTCTGGCCTGTTTGGACGGGTTGCCTTTCCCTTCCTGTCTGGCATTTATCCATACGCCACTTTCAGTTCCATTTCATTCACGTTGGCTCCATTGCCAGGGTGAGATAAGAAAGGGAACATGCGTACTAATGCAAAAAATGTAATATATTTCGACTTGGCAAGTATTCTAGTGAATCGAGTTTTGAAAGTTTCGAATCCACCCCGAAGACTTCTTTCTTCGCATATAAGACGCTGGTGTACTGATGGAAGCAGGAAGAAAATGAGTACGTCGAGAGTAATCAGCATCTTCTTCGAAACTCCCCATTACTTCTCTACGTGGTTTTGTGCCGTGGTGATGCGACACCAATCGAGGAAATGGAAACATCCTGCTGCACTGGATCGATTTTGTTCGCTAGGAGGAAAGGCGAGTGGAGGTGGTCATATTCGATTGGGAATAGGAATCAGTCCCTCCAGAAAATGAAAATACGAGCGCGCCACTTAAGAAAACTGATCGGTGCCTGCTGAGAAGTGGTTCATATGAACGCTCGTTTAGTGAACGCACAGTGTGTTCAAGTTGAGAACCATTCCACAACAGTGACCTACATGTTATCATTTTAAAGAATGGTCGTAATTGCTGGAGAGAGAGGAGAAGAATTATTAAGGAAGGAGATCGAGAAGAGGGAGCATACAGGCGTCTGCTCTTGGGACGTGTTGTCCAGACAGAGAGATTTATTTGGTCTACCTTTTTCCTCTACCCTATCAGGGTTTCTCAGTCTGGGCTTGGTCGAACCCAAACACGCAAGCCCGTCTCCCTTTGGTGGCGCAACAAAAAACGCGTCCCGTTTGACGCTTTATAAAACTCGCTGTGAATGATCTTGGTTCGTAATGTTTTCGTATTACGTTGGAAACATCACAAAATTTGTTTCCTGAAAGTTTCATGTACCTAAGTTTTCCGATTAAAAATCGACAGTCGTTCAAAGTGGAGAAAAAAATTTATAAAATTGACTTGCAGATATGCCTGAGAATCACCCCGAAAAGGGAAATTTCCCATTCCAACGAAATATAGTTATGCCTAAATACTGTTGACATTTTAAATTTCTACTAAGTGCGGAGTTGACGAACGTTTATGAATGTCAATTTATTATATAATGAATTTGGAACTGGATAAAATCGTTTGGAAATGAGAAAGACTCATCATAAATAATAGGAAACAATTTAAATGCATTTCTCTAATCGCATTCATGAGTTGTGGTTTTATTTTGGCAAAGGTTGAAGCTGCAGAATCCCCGCATACGTTCATGAAAGCTTCGTACCGCCCGACAGACATGCTGAGAGACAGACATGCCGAGAGACAGACTCACAAACAGACACACACGTAGACAAGCAAGGTTGAAAGAAAAGAACCCTCAATGAGATCGCATGTCATGATTTCAGCATCCAGAATTTAATTGGTAATTGGGCAGCAAAAGAGATGTAACTCCTTTCGAAACATAAGGGCGAAAAAGGCCGAGGGACAGTGCATCCCCAGCAGACAGAATGCAGATATGCATTCTAGGCCAATCGTCCAAGTTGGCATACGTGATGATACTATGTAGAGCCGCCCTGCTGGAATACATCACATGCGAAAGTTGATAAGCCTGTTTACCAACAAAGAACTGTTTCCTCCCAAGTGCCGACCCGTCCAAGGATATCGCGTGGCATCAATAAGGAACGGCCGCCAGTTTGATCGACGAGGAGCGGATGTGGAGGAAGGCTAACGATCATCCGTCAAGCCCACTGCAATGCCCTGGCACTTGGATGAAATGATAACTGACGTCAGAGGCAAACATTTTGGCAGGTCGTCAGGCGAAGAACAACGAAGGGGGAGGGAGACGAGCGAGAGAGCAGGTGGAAATAGAGCCCAGACGGACGCGAGGAGCACAAAAGAGGAGGGAGACCATCACCTCGTAGTCAGTCTCTTCCCCACCCGCATTTCGCACGACGCGATTGTTCAACCTTTCGTCTCTCTCGCTGTCCCTCCCCTCATTGGAAAAAGTGTGGTCTGCGCAACAGAAGGCACGTGAGCATTTCGTCTCCAGCGAAATCCCAAAATGGTTTTCGGTGCAATTTAAGTCGTTTGCAAGCATTAGACATTTTGCCGTGAGCCGTTCCAATTTAGTGCACACAATAGTTACGTTGCCGTAAGCTAATTCTTTGTTGCCTTTCTTTTACGAATAGTCCGTTCCAAAGTAGTTTCGAGTGAATTCATACGAAGGAAAGGATCAATCATTAGCAGTATCGCATTTGACACTGGTAGCACATTGAATTGAATTTTTTTCTCCGCTTTCTGATTTTTGCATTAGAACTGTAACAAATAAACCAGTTTTTAATGGAGAAGTTCTACCTCAGCTGCAACGTTGTTTGGATTCAGAAATCTGATACTCCCCGGAATTGAACCGTGCCAAGGTTTCAGGTCATCGAGGTCCCTCTCTCTTTCTATGTTAAGGCAT